GATTGTAAGTTGCATCTCACATTGGTTGTGATTTTCGTTACGTTCACATGAGTTAAAAATTCAGTGGACGGAAATTGTGTGTTGTTTTCGAATTATTGAAGGTCCGTACTATGTATGCCCTACCACAATAAAGACGGCTCGAGATTGTACACATTGCTCTTTTGTATTTATTCTACATCATGAGTACTGTTCAAAGGAAAAGTCTTGGGAATAGTAATGAGAAATTAAACAAGATTTATAGTGGACGGTGATCTTCTTACCTTATTATAAAAATATATCTAAGTTTTTTATACCGTGTTGATAAATTAATTTTTTCATCCCAAAATTACAAAGGTACGATGATTATGCAATAGTTATGTTGTTCATTCTCATAACCTTTTGAACTTTTTGAGGGTGAAAAAGTTATTATGTGAAGGCATTTGCATTGCATATGCAACAATTATGCGCTTTATACGACAATTGTGAAATCCATTCGCATTTTCTATGGTGAATAGTTAACTTGTCAGCAGACGGTGTGAAAAACATAATATATTTTTATAGTAAGATAAAAATAGTTATTTTCAATTTAAAAACTTTAACCATTCATATTGTTACCTCATTCAAAGGTTTGACAGATAGCAGATAGCGGATTACATTATTTTTTATTAAAATAAAATAGTTTAAAAAAATTTTCAAAATAACAACAGCTATCGTTAAGAAGCTCCAAATCCTCTTTAATGTAGCAAACCCCCTATTTTTGCCCTCGTCTCACTGTTCTCCTTCTCTCCAGCTTTGCCACCTCTCGCAGGGTCTGCTTCCTCTCGCCACTCTTTCTTTTCACCGCTAATTAAGCGACTTGCATCGGGGTGCTGATAAGATTCCAGTCCTGTCATCGTCCCCTTCCGGCGTAGTGCTCATTCGAGCTTCTAGTGGCCATGGCGGGTCTGTTAGGGTTCAGACGTAGGGCGGTGGGTCCATTGACACCAATTTTGTCCACCGCTTCTACTGTGGGTTAGGTCCGAGATTAGAGCTTGGGTGCTCACAGGATTCAAATTGTCCCTGAAGCTGAGTGGATGGGTCCGACGACGGGGGTTGTCGCCACTTTCGGTGGTTTCGACAGTTGTCGTTCTCGGTGCGGTTCTTGGATTGTTCGCCGTTCGCTACAAGCCTATCGGCTTACGGCCAAGATCACTATCAGATAAAGATTCATGGGCTTCTTACCTAATGGGTGCTACTGATGTTGATGCCCAACAACACTACTAGCCGAACCATCTTAATCCAATACACGGTCGAAAGGAAAATGGATAAGGAAAAAACGTTGAATATGAAGGTCTTCCCCCAGAAAATAAGGGCTAACAGTACTAGCAGTTCCACTATCTATGACCTATGGATCAGTCCTAAGCTAAGAACCTGACGAGATCTATTATCACTTTTTTCATGTCCTCGTAAATTGCTCTCGCTAACGCCCTTGACCCTAGTGAAATTCTGCCCAAGCCAGCTCCAACCCATGCCTAATTGGATGGGGATGTTGCTCGTTTTGTCCCGTATCTAGTTAGCTATAGGTTGGAGATTTGGTGTGGGGCAGTGGGTCTATCTTTTTTTTTTGGGGGAGGGGGGAATGGGATGGCTTCCTATGGTTGTTGTCTTTTTTGTGGTGTTTTGGAGAGTTTGCTGACTGTTGGAGAGGACTGTATTCTAGTTTTTAGTATTTGTAGTGGTATTTGTAGGTTGTGTTTTGTGTATTGTATTGGTTTGTTTGTTTATTCTTTTTATTAGGAGCTTAAATTATCTATTTGTAAGGGTTTTTTAGCTTGTTGCATTATGGATGTATTAGTGTAGTAGATCTAGGTTGCCTTTGTATAGTCCTTCCACTAGATTCAACTGGGTGGCTGTTTGGCTATTTATGGTTGATGTGTAGATGTAATTATGTGTTTTTTTCAATAAAATAATATCGTTCACTAAAAAAGAAAGCTAGCTCTCTTTCCCAAAACCTTCTCCCCCAAATCATTTTTTTCTTCCTTCTCGCCGTTGGTCTGATTTCCTTGCCTTCCCCGACGGACAGTCGGCCTCTTGCCGACGGATGTCCCTTAGCAGCGCTGTTGCTCCTTCGGCCCGATTTTGTGCGTTTCCTTCTCGGTTCTCGCCATTCAGAGATGAGTACTATTTTTCGGTCGGGGCTCTTCTCTTGGAAGTCGTTGTTCGAGATTCTCTCGGCGTCGCAGGTGGATTTCCAAAATTCTTTTGTCGATTCTGTCCATGTACGCCTATCGTCGACGGGTTCCACGGCTCCACTTATGATGTGGGTCCGATTCTCGGCCCCGGCGGTGGATTTCTGGCTTTCTTCTGTCGGCTCTGTCTTGGGATGGTGGTCGATGGAAGGTTCGAGGGTTTCTTCTCTAGTTTGGGTCTAATTGCTGCAAGGAGGTGCGTGGTTGGAGTGTTGGGTGCGGCCCTGGCGGCTCGGCTCGTCTGAGTTGCGGCGGTCGGGGGCTGAGGTGTTTCGGTTCTTGTCCTCGGGTCCCCTTTCTGCTGGTGTTGTGGTTCTGAGATGCCGGCAGCCCAGAACCTAGGCCAGTGGTATTGGCCAGGTCTCGGGTAGCTGGCGTGTGGAGGACGGGTCGATAATCCTCTGGCTACGGGTCGGCTTCATCCTTAGAGTGGTTCGATGTTCGGGACTCGTTCCTTGCTACGCATTTGGCAGTGGTGGGAGTGGCGTTCCAGATTTTGGGTCAAGCTGTAGGATGTTAGTCTTTATTTCGCTGGTGCCTTGGGTCAGGTTTAGCCCTTCGCTGGGGAAGAGCCTTGTTCGTAGGTAGTATAGGTTTTTTTATTCATGTATTGTGTCTGTTTATGTATTTGTGTTTTTATTTGTGTTTTAGGTTTGGGCCGCTGGCCTCGATTAACCCAAGTGTGACCTTTATTATCTTGTTGGGATAGCACACTCGACCATTACCCTGTTGGGGTCTTTTTAGTTGTTTTAGTTGTTCGAGTAGTTAGTTAGTTTAGTTGCGAGTTTTCATTTTAGCGTTGCTAGTCGAGATTCTAAGCGGTCTCCTGACCTGTCCTCCCACTTTTTCAGCTGTTGGTTGTTCTCATTCTGCTAGGAGCTGCTTGTATTCGCACATTTCTTTCCTTTTTATTTATAATAGTATCTATCATTTTGGAAAAAAAAAGAAAGCTATAGTTCAAGGGAAAAAAATTTGATTAAAACATTTATAAATGGTAGTTTTGCATACTTATAATTCTCATTATATATCCATAATTTTACCTCTAACTTTATTAAGTTACTAATAATACTATTATTTATTACTAATGATTCTTAATATATTTATAGTAATTTTTTATAGCCACCATCTCGCCAGAGTGGACCGCCACAAAGTAAAATAGGTCGAGAAATGAGCCTTGTTGACCTGTAGAGAGCATCATGTATATATGGGAGGGATTGAGTCGACTAGAGGTTTGGTTGGTGACCTACTGAGAAGCTCACGACCTAAGCCAAGGAATATTCATTCATTGCTATAATACACACAATTTATAATTGTCGTCATGTGCATCGCACGAGCTACGTACAAGCTATATATCAATTATTTTATCATATCTTTATCAAAACTGGTAGTTTTATGTTTTGTGTTTTAATCATAGTATACACCTATATCGAAACATCCAATTTTTTGTCTTTTTTATTTTTTTTTTCTAGCGACATAGGGTCTCATAAAGTAAATAAAGGTATTACAAACAGAAGGCAAACTAGCCTTTACGAACATAAATCAAAGGGAGACCACACCAACGGTGGTCTAGAGGAAGCAAAAACCACAAGCTAAACACAAGGAAAATACAAAGATTTGGCACCTTTGGAATACACACTAAAAGAAAACCAAGCAAGAAGAAAACAACTGACTGAAACTCTAACCAACAAATAGAAAAACAAGGTAAGGGTCGCCGAGACCACTGAACACAAGAACCTAGCCACGGTGAAAACCACCCACTAGAACTAACAACATTGCTCCTAGAATTTGGACCACTCCCTCAAAGCAGCTTGAACAATAACACTTTCCTGCATCCAAACTCGTTGAAAATCACATATTGAGCGCTTTTCAAGGCCACCAAAGTATGTAGGTCGAAAGTTAAATTCGAGCCTCAGAAACTGCTGATTGATCCATATCAACTAACCACCACCACCAAATTCTAAAATCAAAAGGTGAATATTTGGAAATATCCCAAGACACAGAAGCTAATTTCCTAACTAATTTAACTCAACTGCAACCAAAAAATAGGCGCCAAAACATCCTCAACCAAAACGTCGCTTCATTGACAGACCCAATCTACTTCAACCCTTTTTTTTTCAAAACAACTCGTACATGAAGAGTGTTATAAAGACACTTTCAAAGAAAATGATTTAAACTTCAGCTTCACATTTAGTCCCCAACATCCCAACCTAGCTTTCTTATCACTTCTTAAGGCAACACTACTTTGAGGATAGTCCAATGAAAACACCTTCTGCAACATAGATAGAGAGTAAACAGAGGCAACTGAAAACTTACCTTTGGAGTATCCAACCTACACCCATTTGTCTTTGGCCTCAGGATCCAAATTCTAAATCTTCAGAATAGCATCACAAGACTCAGGAGTAAAAGTCATTTGAAGAACATCTTTATCCCAACCTCTGCACCTATCAAGATTAATCTCACTTACCCAAGTTGGAATAGGAGAAGAAAGGCATGTACACAAAGAAGGAACAACACTCACCAAGCCAGAGACCTAAGGATCGGAGAGGATTTTAGTATTGAGCCCATCCCTAACTTCCTTCACAAAGCTCTACTTGTGAAAAGACAAGACTCTATAGCTTATAAGAAACTTTCTCTCCTTTTGAAGATTCTGAGATATTTAAAATCCATTTGAGTCTTTTTAGGAGGAAAGATACGCTAGTGTGGAGTCTTGAGAAGAAAGGTTGTTTTTCAGTTAAGTCAGCTTACAAAACATTATTGCTCATGTCTCAGGAGATATCCAGAAACCCAACTCGAGTAAAGAAGATTTTAAAACCAAGAAGACGTAGAATATAACTTGGAACCGTCATCTCCAACAATAACTCTAATATTTTATGTAGAGGCTACAAAATGAGTTTCTGAGCACAAAACAATAGCTAGTGAGTAAAAGAGGGTCAGGAGACACTATTTGCAGTATCTGTGGGGAGGAACTTGAGGACATAAATAATCTATTTGTGCATTTTTCTAAGAGACAAATTTTTTTGAAATTATTATGTCTGGATTGAAATGGTTTCCACAAAGACAACTTCCATTTTAAACTCGGGTGGGAAGACATTTCGCAATGGCAGGAAAGCTGAAAAGAAGATGAAAAGAATAACTATATTTGTGTGCTTACTAAGGATCGGAGAGGATTTTATTATTGAGCCCATCCCTAACTTCCTTCACAAAGCTCTACTTGTGGAAAGACAAGATTTTATAGCTCATAAGAAACTTTCTCTCATTTGAAGCTTCTGAGATACTTAAAATCCATTTGAGTCTTTTTAGGAGGAAAGTTACGCTAGTGTGGAGTCTTGAAAAGAAAGGTTGTTTTTCAGTTAATTCGATTTACAAAAACATTATAACTCATATCTCAGGAGATATCTAGAAACCCAACTCGAGTAAAGAAAATTTCAAAACTAAGAAGATGTGGAATATAACTTGGAACCGTCATCTCCAACCAAAACTCAAGAATGTGGAGGCTACTAAATGGGTTTCTGAGTACCAAACAACAATTAGTGAGTAAAAGAGGGTCAAAAAACACTATTTGCAGTATCTGTGGGGAGGAACCTGAGGACATAAATCATCTATCTGTGCATTGTTCTAAGAGACAAAATTTCTTGAAATTACTAGGATTGTATTGAAATGATTTCCACAAAGACAACTTCCATTTCAAACTCGGGTGGAATGACATTTTGCAATGGCAGGAAAGATGAAAAGATGATGGAAAGAATAACGATGTATATGTGTTTACCAAGGATCAGAGAGGATTTTAGTATTGAGCCTATCCCTAAATTCCTTCACAAAGCTATACTTGTGAAAAGACAAGGCTTTATAGCTCATAAGAAACTTTCTCTCCTTTTGAAGCTTCTGAGATACTTAATATCCATCCGAGTCTTGTTAGGAGGACAGATACGCTAGTGTGGAGTCTTGAGAAGAATGATTGTTTTTCAGTTAAGTCAGCTTACAAAGACATTATAACTCATATCTCAGAAGATATCCTGAAAACCAACTCGAGTAAAG